TGTATATGGTTAGGTGTCTAAATTTCTGTGTAAAAATATGTAATTGTTTATTCATATTCTTTAAACATTTTTCATGCTTTAAATTTTTATCTCCATATTCTGTAGGGACTTCAAGTTTAACATAGTAATACTTGATGGAAAATACCTGTTCCATGTTATACCTAAGATGTTTGATATTCAGACAGATAGTGAAGTTAAACCCAACTGCATATGTTGTAGGGTAATAATAAGCTTCTCTTCTGGAGGGTTAATTACCTAAGTCAACAGACCAAAAATTAGAGAAATAGAAGGGCTGCAAGGACAGCCAACATTTTGACCATAGCATTTCAAGGTCAGCGAAGACTCAGGACATAGGAAAACCTATACTATAACATCATAACTCAGTTGTGTCCCAAATTTTTTGATCAAGGAGATTATGGGGCATAGAGCAATGTGATCGATGATGTAGAGTGTGCCTAAGGAGAGTCACCTGGAGAGAAAATATTCTCTCAAGCTTTCACAGACAGCAAATTGGTCAAGCAGTGGCCGTGACTCATCCACATGGTTGACATTAACAAAGGATCTGCAAACTGTGGTACAGGGCTATAGGATAAATCCTGAGGGTATTTGACTGACCTTATCAGATATAAAAGTTACATTTCTTGTTATATAGGTCTTGCTTTATCTTGGTCTTAACCATCCAGCAAAAAAATATAAAAATGAGGTATATAAAGTAAAGCCATATTAATATGCTGAGCTGTGAAAGGCTCAAGTCAACAACTTCTGCAGATAACCCACTACTATTGTGGGCTACTGGACTGTGTTGGATTGGTTTGCTGAATTTATGCACCTATAGTATTTAGATGCCAATAGAATACCCATCTCTGACAGGGTTAAAGAAAGGGGAAACAAAGGAAGGACTCTTTTGTACCTGCATATACAGAATAGTTAGGATAGACATACAGCTACTTTCGTTTAATTCAATGAGAAGAAAGCTTTGTACTAATAGTGTTTGCACAGGATAGCCTGTCTGCATCTTGTACTATTGATAAGCACTAAGAGGATAACAATGTACAATGTATTAATTATTGAAACTGTCCTATTAATCAGTTTTGAAACTGTCTCATTGCTATTTGTTTCTCAATAAAATAAAAAATGGTTAAAAAAAATAAAATAGAATTTTAACTTACAGTAAATACATGTATTTTAATCTATCAATTTGCATTAATTTTTAATTTTTAAGATGCAGCATTAAAGAAATTTCATTCACACACACACATACCCTGTATCCCCCAGAAGGCATTCCCTATTGGTGGGAAGGTTTGGTACAGGCAGGAGTCTGTAGGAGAGAAAGTAAAATAGCGGCCTCTTTAGGTCTTCTAGCTAATCTTGACTAGAAGACGTCAAAGAAACTAGGATGCCCCTGGGAAGCAAGTCAAAGGCAAGGGTTAAGGATATATATATATATATATATATATATATATATATATATATATATATAATTTTGAAAGGCAGAAATAGCCTTCATTCTTGCAGTCAGAGACCAGAGAAAGAGCCAACAGGCAGAACACAGAGGGAAAACCAGGTACACAAATGATAAGCTAACGCCGCCTCCAATACAACGCAGGGGAAGCAAGGGGAGCCAACTAACTTTAAGGCAGATGTACTCGCACCACGCACTAACATACACTTACATACGTGCATACGCAGTCTAGAGTCACTATACTCTTCACTCTTGGTCATTATAGAGTACAATAGATAGCCACACACACAGCCTTGCTAACCATAAATAAGATACTTCCTTGCCAACCCTGCCCACCCCAAAGATAAGGCCTTAAAATGTACATCAAAGGCAAACAAGTGAAGCTGCACATAGAACAGAAAATAATGACATGAGGCAGAGGTGGCCAAAAGCCAACCCAGTTATGGCAAGTTCCAGGAAGAAAAGAATCCAGTACACCCCCTCCAAAAACAACTAAAATCAAAGGGCTCAGGCTTCTACATCTTACCACAGTGCCCTTCCTTGCTTCTTTCTTATCAGAGTAGCTATCTACTCCTTTCTTCCTCCTTTTCCTCTTTACAAATAAAAATGTCTTTCTTTCCTTAGACTCTGTTCCTCTAATTTATTGTCCAGGCTAAGTCATGATCCTGGTGGGTTGTTGGGACAACAGAGCAGCAGCGCCCAGACCCCCAGACACAACAATGTGAAGGATGCATTCTGAACATGAGCAGACACTGAGGCACACAGAGCCAGTGAGCCAGAAGGATTCTCTGGAAAGAGTCCATCCCTACAGGTGAGGCAGTGTCTAAGGCAGCGAGACTCAAGCCAAGACTGGTTTGCACGTTCATCCACAGACGCTCAGCAGGCGAGCTTTCCAGAGCTGGATACAAACTCTGTATTAACGCTCCAGGGGACCCAGGAATCCCATGGTTTCTCAGTTTAACTGGGACAGGTGGCATTTGTGCTTATGTTTAGGCTTGTATTTCCTTATAAAACTATCTGGATTGTTTTGAGGAGCAGCCAAAATCTGGAAGAAGGAAAATAGAAATCAAAATTTTGATTTAGTTCTATTCTGTGCTATTTCCCAGCTATGTTCTTTTGGAAAAACCAACCACTCTCTATGAACCCAGATTCTTCATCTTTAAAATGAAATCTGAAATGCCCTTCAAAGGGCTGTGACATGGATGAAATGGAATGACACATGGAAAAAAAACACACAAGGAAGAGCCTATTAAATCCAGGAGAGGATTTGCAATGGGAGTTTTGACTTTCTCTTCTAGGTTCATTACATTCTGTTAAAAATATGACAAGCTAAACTACATACAAAGCCAATGAGTATGGTACAGTACAGTGATTAAGAGCTCAAGATTTGTATCAGAACTGGATTTGAGAACCATCACTTCCATTGATTGGCTGTGACACTGTAAGCAAATGATTTATCTTCTCAGGCTTTATTAAACGAGCATAAAATTGTAGAACTTCACAAGATTGTCTTTGAATAAATGAGATAACATACCATTTGTGGAACAGAGTAGATGTTCAATTAAAATTTTATAAATACATGAATGACCTTGGGAAAGAGCTGAACAAAGTACCTGCATGTAGTAAGCATTCAACAAAAAATTGTTGTGGGGGCCGGGGAGATAGTTCAATAGAATAAGTACTTGCCTGGCAAGGACCTGAGTTCAATCCCCAGTTCTAAAAAAAAAGAAAAAAAAAAGAAAAGAAAGAAAAATTGTTGTGAATGCTGTTGCTTAAAAGAGCATAGAAAAAGAGTTATCTTTTAGGCTGTCCAGGGTACATATTCTTTTTCTTTTCTGTTCTTTTCTTTATTCATTTTTGGTACTAATGTGGGTTGATCCAGGGCCTTTCCACATTCCCACTGGGTCACATTCCCAGTCCACTTCATTTTTTATTTTGAGGTAGGGCCTCACAAAATTGCCCAGGACTCAAAAGTGCAATCTTCCTACCTCAGTCTCTCAGAGTGCAGGGTATGTATTCTTATTTAACTTTTATCATAGCAATTCATAGTGAACAGTTACCTTGCCTATATTTTATTACTGATTTATAATCTACTCTAAGTTCATTAGTTTTCATACATATTCTGTTCTTGCTCATCATAATAATCCACTATAATCATAGTGGGTCCCCAGAGATGTTTATTCTTGGCTTGTTTTTTTTCATTACCCTATAGCATCAGTAGTGCTTGTCCATTTTAAAAGCAACAAAAACAAGATCAGAAAGGGCAATTATTTTACCAAGCTCCCACAGGGCATCAGCCTTAGTCATCAAACGGAGGAAAATCAATTACAGGATTTTCAGTCCAATTCTTTTGTTCAAAAAAGCATGCTGCTTAGTTATCGCCATGTAATATATTTAACACCAAAATGCAACTATTGAAAAATAAGTTCCACGTGAATTCGAAGGATTACAACCTTCAAACTTATCAGCCGGTATAAATAGACTCATTCCACCTGGTGATAGATAGGTAGGTATTTAGTTATAAAAGTAAGAACGCAAAGACTTCTGTACTTCCTCCCCAGCTCATTTTGTCAGCCAACAAAGTTTCACACCACTTTGTGGTGTTCTGCTCCTCCGCCCACTGTTCCGCGTACAGAAATAGCCCACGTGCGTGCAGCGTGAGGCGTGCACGTGTTTCTGCAGCGCCCACAATCCCGTTCTCTCAGTCTGGGATAAGTGCCTGCAGATGGAGAAATGCTCCCCAGGAGTGCGGCTCTAATGCTGAATTTAGCACATTGGGGCAATTTCCATAGGAGCCACTTAAGGTGCCAACACTGAGTTCAAATTCCAGTTTCTGAAGGACATCAGAGGGCACAAGATGATGGAGAAGTTTCTTTTTAAAGCACTCGTGTCTACAGTCATCGAAAAGGAGATTGCCGAAGTTCAGTTTCCTGGGAGCCGCTCATAAGGGTTCTCTGCATGCTGAGTAATTACTTACTGCCCTCCCTGATGTTGCCTCTGGGGTTCAGTTTCTGTACAGCTTACTGCAAATATTCCCTTTACACTAAGGATATGCTTCATATGCCCCAACACTGAACGCTGCGACATTACATCCTATTGCTGGTCCGGATGTCAATCACTGAATAAATGAGGTCACTAACTGAATCCACTTGGGATATAACCTCACCTCTTGGACAACAAAAAAGTATTTCTTTCAATCAAATAATATTTCAGACAAATATTAATTCATTTGTTCAATGTAATAAAATTTTTTATCCCATACAAGCAGATTCTCCATAGCTCCTATAAAAAAGGTGCTAACTCTCATACTATAGGAAAGAAGCCCAAAGAGTTCATGCTACTTAATGACCAAGAAGCAGGGGGGAAAATGAGTATCTTAATCACTGTTTATTTATTAAGTGCCCGCTATGTGCTCACCATCATTTTAAATGTTGAGGTTAGGCCACACAGAATGAACAAAGCGAATTTATTCCTTATCTTCAAGGATTTACTGCCTAATGGAATACAGACAAGGCAATAGTATTCCTATGGGATGCACCTGTAAAGGATGATGGTGAGAAGCAGAGGAGATGTATCTCCCAGGGGTGGGCAGGGAAGGCTTTGCAGCACAGGAACAATCTCAGAGGACAGAGTGCACAGTCCAGGACAGAGGGACGGACAGCAAGGAGACTGTGCCCTGGGACAGAATCATGGGCACAATAACAGATCAAAGGCGAGGGAAGGCCTGCAGCACACACTGCCTTGTCAGTGGGTTTAAGTTCAGAGGTCTGAACCTAGAACACAGAAAGGCAAGTTGAGAAAAGACACTGAAGAGCCTACCTGATGGCCTTGCCCAGCCCCAGAGCAAGCCCAGCTCTCCCAGGACCTGCGCTGCTGGTGCACACAAGTGATGAGGATCTGCAATTTCTGCCTGTCCAGCATCTAACCTCTACCTCTGGCAGTAAAGCACATGTCTTCCTTTGGTGAACTTTGCCACCCCCTCTCAATGTGTACATCATGTGAGGGACCGAGCTACCACTTGCACTAAGAATAGGCACAAAATTCAGATCTGCGTAATGAGCCTTGCATACCCTGACCATGGCGATTAATTTAGCAGTCCAGGGACACGTCTAAAAAGCACATGCCTGCAACTTACATTGACCTGCAGAGAAAAAACAATGCTTCCCATGGGGTTGATCAAGAAAATAGAATTATCACCATGGGGCTGCAGGTGGCTCTGTCCCCCATTTATTCACTCCACAGTTGTTTATTAATTAGCCATCATGTGCCTGCTGTAAGCATTAGGAATAAAGAAATAAAAATATAATTATATTTTAGAAGTTTTCACCTTCAACTAAAGAGTCAAATAAAGGAAGCTGATGTTTTTAATTAAGCATGGTGAGTGTCAGGGTAGAGATTACACAGAACATTGTGTGTGCCAGGAAGGGCAGCCAGCCTGGCTTTCTAGGGAAGAAGGCACCCCTTGAGCCCTGTTGGATGTCCATAAAAGGGACCTATAAATCCCCAAGCATGGAGGTGTGGTCCCACTGGCTGGTTTTGGTGATTCATCCTAGTCAGTGAGGCTGGAGAGTAGTGCCCATTAAGTAATGTGGGAAAAGCCAGAGAGCCAAGCTGGGCCTATAATTTGGAGGCTTTGGCTGTTTGTTAAAGGAGGTAAGTAACATCACCAAGTGGCATGCTAGAAAATCAGGTAGAATGGGCTTTAGGAGCACCAGGGTGGAGGCAGGGGGAGCCTTAAGAGCCAGATGCCATTGTCCACCTTAAGTCAATGCAGGCCAAACTAAAGCACTGGAAGGATAAGCAGGTTGTGGGTGTCAGATGCAAAAGAAAGCAAACAGGCAAAATAAATAGGATGGACAGGTTAGTTGGATTTATGCAGTTAGGCTGGTGATTAAAATGGTGATGGTCCTGATCAAGACTGAAATTCTTTTTATTGGGAGAAGCAGACTTCATGAAGAAAGGTCAGTTCACTGGGCCTATGGTAAATTGAGAATCGGGCAAGACAATGTACTGGAGATGTCTGAGGCCATGAGTCCAAGGCAGGATCCCCAAGAGAAGTTGTGATAACATTCATTTGTAGTGGGTAGTGCTCATCCATTTCTCCATTGCATCTTCATAAAGGTTTGCATGTGCTTTGATTTAGGCATCACCAGAATACACTTAATTAAAACTATGGCTATGAGTGAGATTTTCAGGGGCGGGCATAGGATTCAAAACAAGAAAGCAACAGTTTAAAGGATAAGTGGGGAAAGAGAAGTCAGTGAAGACAGAAGACAGAGCCTGAACAGCATCAAGGCAACCAGGGAGGAGGGAGTGTCAAGAAAAACAAGCAATAAGAGATGAAGTCATATCAGAACTGAAAGCATCCACATGCACCACAGCGTTGGAGAAAGGGTGGGGTAAAGAAGAGGACAGTGAGGTGGCATTGTGCTTATTCATGGCTGGGTTGCTGGTTGGTTTAAAATGGAAAAAAATTGAACATATTTTTACTTAAGATGGAAAACCAATATAAAGAAGATGCAGGAGGAATAGAACTGGGTGATGAGTGTGGTAACCTTGGAGGTTGATCAGGATGGATGATGTAAGAGAAGAGACCTGGATCGAGTGTGATGGTGCACCTCTGCAATCCCAGCACTTCAGGAGGCTGAGGCAGAAGAATTGCAAGCTTGAGTCCAGTTCAAGCAACACAGAAACATAGCAATACCCTGTCTTATAATTTAAAAAAAAAAAAAATGAAAAGGACATGGCATGTAGCTCGGTGGAAAGGCCCACAGTTCAATCCTCAGTACCAGAGAAGAGAGAGGAAATCTGTCCCAGATGAGGAAGAACACTTCTGCTTTTGAGAAAGGAGTAGCGAATCATATATGAATGCCCATATAGTTAGTTTTGAAAGTGAGCCAAGGTTGACGGTAGGAGAGTACTCACAGTAATTATGTTAAATCTTCTATATCTATTTCCCTTTAAACATTCTACAAGACTTTGCAAAGTCAGAAATGACTGAGTAATGATGAGCTCCAGGAAGCTAAGGTGCATACAGTCACTAGTGGTGCGTATTCTCTATTCTATTTGAAACCACAATCTGCCTTACTTTTTTAACTCAGATTGCTTTTGAACTTAAGCCCTCTGGCCACACCCATTTTAAATGGCTTCATTTTCCTTAGTGTCCAGCTTTTGTGTCTTTATCTTTCAAAGGTCAGCTGCAGTGAAGATACTGGTTCTGAGCAGTAACCATTTGAAAAGCAAAAGCCCAAATATTTAAGACACGTTGGTGTAGAACCACTACCTTTAATAAGACATCTTTCCTGGAAGCAATCTTTTCTCCTACAAAAAAAAATCATATTATAAGGGGCCCCATCTAGAAGGATCCTTCTAGTCTCTGTTACACATCTCAGTCTGTGGGGTGTCCTTGATGACAGGAGAGATCCATTGCCTAAAGAGAGCACCAAACCCCAAAACTGATGTGAAGAAAATCCAGTGCCCGTTAAAGAACCTGTAGAACAAGAGGAAAAACTCACACAAGGTGAGGAATCAATTACTGCAGAGCTTATCCATCCCAATGCACTCATTTTATAGCACATAAGTTGAAGCTCGGAGTGCCATATGGTTCACTGGGATCAGCGCCAGAACCCAAATCCAGGTCTGCAGTCTCTCAGCCTCGTGTTCATTCCTCCTCTCATAACATCTGTTTTTCCTGCTGTGTTGCAAACTCCACAGGGCCATCAACATCTTCTGTCTTGCTCACCTAGGTATCCCCAGCATAAGAGGTGACAAGCAAAAATACCTTCTGGTCAATAATCTAACTGTACTCAGGACAGATCACTAGCGGTTATTTGTGAGGCTTCATGCAGACCTGAACATCAGAGTAAAGAATCTCGACAAAAAGAAAAATCATCACCAACCAACCCATAAACACATGGCTTATGAACTCTGAAAATATCAGGAACTCTAGACATTACTTCCCGAGTGGAAATCTTTGGGAACAGCAATCAAAGAGCCACCTCTTGCTTGGGGATCTGTGTCAGGGTTTCATTTGTCATCAAGTTGGCAAGCACCACAACCCTAGTCATGTACAGAGCTTGAGAACAGAAGTTTCCACATTGCCTGTAAGTCAGCTTTAACCAGCTTGGATCCTCCTTAAAATATTTAGCAGGCTCTCTCTTCCAAATACTGTAATTGCTAAGCCTCCTTTCATCTTACCCTAATCAAACCTGCCTAAATTTTTGTGTCAGGAAAAATCACATGCATATTAGCCATGCATTCCAGCTCACAGGGGACAGCCCCTGCCAGGGTACTAACAGGCACTCTACAGAGTTAGGATTTGAAAGTTGCATTAGCCAGAGTTGAATTTAGGTCTTTTTAAAAAAAAACAAGACCCTGTAAGTTCTTCATTTTCCTGAAACTATGTGCTGGCTTAATGCCTTTCTCCTCCGGTTAAGACCAAATCTTCTCAAATGAATCGGCTAGAAAGGTCTCTAGTGGGAATTGTACTCTTTCTTAGCATTCTTGAGTTTGGATTTGCTTTGGGTTAATTGGTTAATGGTGAAAATAAGTACTTACATCTTCTGCCCCTAAATCAGGAGTTGCTGTTGCTGCTTCTGCTACATCCCACCAAGACAGCCTGCTGTTACTCACAGCTGGCAGACAGTGTAAACTGTGATGCCACGTCAGCCACACAGAACGTGGCTGTTTCAGCAACAGTTTCCTGACGGAATGATTTTGTGTGCAGCTCCAAATGCTGGAAACACAATCTGACCACCATATTGAGAAGGTCTGCTTAAAAGAGCATACTACTTGAAATTACAAAATGAAGCCACACGTATCCCTTTTTGTTTCTAATTGAAAAGCCAAGGGGAACACAAATATATTATATTGGCTAACCAAAAATAGTGGTTAGCGATTGAGGAAAAGGTATCAGGATCAGAAATTGAAAACATATAACTTAGGGACTCTTAGCATTATGGATGTTAGTTCACTAAAACTTTTTGAGTTTAGGATGGCAAAAACTGAAAAAGTTAAATTGAGAAATAGCTGAAGTATGAGATATGTATCTTGTGAAACACTGGGCTAATAACAAATAATAGAGTTATATCATGCCTTAGAGAATTTTCTAACTCATATTATTTTATAAAAATATATTAACTCATATTCCATAATATATGTACATAATTATATGTAAAAATTATGATTGAGTGTGGATATATTTGTATAGATGAAACTAGTTAAAAGGCACATACCTGGCAGTTAATACATTTTTAAAGGAGAAAGTATTGGTAAAGATAGAAGTTAACCTTTTCTAAATGCTTTTTTATTGCATCCTATTCCTATAAAATTGTCACTCTGTGAGTGACATGTATGCTTAGAGAGAAGTACGCATAAGTATACAGAAATGTTAATTTGCTATCTTAAAATTAGGGAGGTTAGAGATGACTTTTATTTCACTCTCTATATTTTTCAGTGTATTTCAGTTTTTTAAAAGAAAGCCTATTTAGGTAATCCAAAGAAACCATACAGGTGTTTTAGTTGTGTAAGAACTACTGCGAGTGGTGACTTGCCTGAACTCTCACTTCTGATACCTCTGCTGAATCTTAATTAGATACCGGGTTTTTCCTCTCAGTTCCAAACAAACTCAAGCATTCTGAAGATGTTCTCATGCTTATGTGAGACAGACAAGCCATGCCAAAGAGAATGTAAAACATTCATCCAGCCCACATCCCACATCGCCCGCCCCTCTTCCAGGATTGTTGTCAGAGGCAGCTCACCTCTTTATGTCTTTTCAGGACAGGGACTACAGCGGGACAGACCCCAGGGCAGGACCCACACAGAGATGCTGCTCCCAGATCGTGCTCAGAAGTGCTGCAGGCTGACTCAGAAATCATTTGGGAAGATGCTGATTGAGGAAAACAAAAAGGGCTTTAGAATTGAGACAGAAATTAGAAAATAAAAACTTTTATTGAATTGGGGAGATAGCTTGGTGGTCTAAGCACAAGGACCTGGGTTCAATCCCCTGTACCACATGCCATCCTGGCCCCCGGAACCCCAGGCACACTTTACTGGCCACCAACACCAGGTATGGCAGCACACGCCTGTAATCCCAGCACTGGGGAGGCCAAGACAGGAAGATCACTATGAGTCTGAGCTGTGTAGTGAGATCCTGTACCAAATAAATAAATAAGCAAATAAATACAATAATGAATAAAAGATTAAAAAAAACTTTTGTTAACTAATGATCAAATAATCAACACATTTTATGTATTTAAAACACAAGAGTCCTGCCATGCTGGCCCTGCCCCTGGGGCACACTGAGACAGCAGTTGAGACTGGGCATGGTGGTACACACCTGTAATCCCAGCTCTTGGGAGGCTGTAAGCAGGTAGAGCACTACAACTCTGATCTAGTAGTGAGACCTTGAACACCCTGTAGACCCTTCTCCAAAAATACAAAAAGATAAATAAACACATACATAAAAATAAAAAAATAAAACACAGGAGTGAGGGCTGGGAAGATAGCTCAGTGGCATAAGCGTCTGCTTGACAAGCACAAGGTCTTGTGTTCAATCCCATGGTATCAAACAAAACAAAAAACAGTGATACCCTAAAACATGAGTGGTCACTGTGTATTTACCAGCTACATTTTTTAATTAAAATTAAAGAAAGTATATGAATATATTTGTACATTATTTTAATTATATGCATAACAGAATGTTTTAATTAGAGTAAGTTTAGAAAATGCATGATTTTCATTCACCATAAGGTCTATGTATCAAGTAAAGACATGTATGAATCAGAAGTTACATACTGTACATATAGTTGTCTGAACTAAAATAAAGAAAGCTCTCAATTTCAAACTTAAGAAGTGAAGAATGATCTCAATAAATTTTCCAAACTATAAAATTGTTCTAAAATAATTTTTTAAAAGAACAATGTTCTTTTACTTTCAGCTACAAATATAATCCAAAGAAGAGTCCTAAACTTCTTTATCCTGAAAGGATTTTGTCATTAACCTATCTAGCTTACTGTAACAAAATAAACTGGCCTAGACCAGAAAAATAAGCCTGAATTGGCTGGCTTATCAACTACAGAAATTTATTTCTCACACCTCTGGAGACTGGGTAGTCCCACAGCAGAGCACTAGCAGACCCGATGTGTTGGGAGGGCCACTTTCTTCCTGGTTGGTGTTTTCACTGAACCTTCACACAGCAGAAGGGGCAAGACGGCTCCTTCCAGCCACTTCTATATGGGCCCTAATCTTGTTCATGAGGACTCTGTCTATATTCATAATTAGCATTAACCTCTAATTCATCACACCATTTTACATGAAGATTTATAAAAGATAAATAATTGCCTAGAGCCACACAGTAGAACTTGGGGCTTCTGGATCTCAGAAATCCACAACATTATGCTGTGAATAATCATAGATCTTGCTGAATCCAACTTACCATAATTAGGTAAAACATATATCCTAATAAATCTAAGTAATTCCTTAAGTTTATGCAAAGAACAACTAGATATGGCCTGCACTGCCATCTTGTCTTGCAATTAGTTAACTGTCCTCTACTTTGTTAATAACGACTCAACTAGATGAAATGAATAATACAAATAGAAATTCATGACAGGATATAAATAATTGCCAATTGTACAATGTCAGCAGTAAATGCTATGAAAGGTCAAGGGACAAATCCAAATTAATTTTAGGAGTGGGATGAGAAGACAGGTCAATGAAAAAGGAATAGAGAATTTAAAAGCTGAGGTACAAGTTATCTGTGACTATTTTACATGTTCTTAGAACACTTCCACTATTCAGGTTATTGTAAACAATATTGGGCCTTAGTTTACAGGGAATTTGTGACCCTGATCCTGCGACAACATTACAACTTCATTTCTACATATTTCGCTTAGTTAAAAAGAACAAACATCCATCCATATATTCAAAAGCCTGCATTTTCCTGGATTCAGACATCTTGCGTAAATGGAGGAAGTTACTAAGGTGGTCTGCATACCACTAAACTCTTGCATAAAAGGTAGGAATTGCAATGACTAATATGCTCCCAAAAGCCTAAATTTTGAGTCATATGGGTACACCCTTTCTAAATCGTCAGTTATGGGCATTAAGTGTGACTTCACTGAACCAAAACTCACGACATAAGTGCTGACCATCAACAGAGTATGACAGTGGAAAAGATGGGAGGCGGGCAACAGGTGATTAGCACTAAGAAGCATAAGGACCCAAGAGGTCAAATAACTAGATCATCTATATCATTGGTTCTCAAACTTGGCTACATACTAGAATAACCTCGGAGCTCTTAAAAATATATATGCATGTCTTTTGCTCCATAAACATTCCAGCTCAGTTTCTTGGGAACATGGGCAAGTAAAGAGAAGAGTTGTCCCAAATAATTTTCTCTGAGATTAAAATGGGGATCAAACATGCTAAGCAAATGCTCTACTACTGAGCTATATATATCCCCAGCCCTAGTCTCAGAAAACTTAAATGACTTACTTTTTGTTTATGTATTTAGTACAGAGTCTACAGGGTTTGACTACACATATCAGATTCATACTGATCCTCTGTTTTCAACCCCCTGGGTGCTGGGATTATAGGCATGCAGTACTGCGCCCATTCTCAGTCATTGTCTCCACGTGCCCCAGAGGCAGGGCTGGTACAGCAAACAGGGGATCGAACACCAGTCCCTGCGCTTGCCTAAGCAGGCACAATAGTCCACTGAGCTTTCTGGCCAGCCTTCAGAAAACTTAAAGTGCAGTTAGGATTAGGGGAGAACTATGGGCCATGCAATTACTGAGAGAGGCCAGGGGTGGTGGTGAAGAATGCCAGTGAACCAGGAGCACTCCAAGCTTCACTGAGAAGGAAGAATAGCTGCAGGATATAGATGATGGCAGTATGGCAGTTGTGTGGCTATTCTGATGGCCTGAAATGGGGGAGCAAGAAGAAAGGGTTAGAGATGGGGGCTGAAGAGGGGGAGCAAGAAGAAAGGGTTAAGGAGAAATAATACTTTAGGAGGAGCCATGAGAAACTGAGAAGACACCTACCTCACTACTGGGCTCCAGCTCAGTTGAGAAGTATCCTCTCTATCCCAGGAAAGACCTAGAGTTCACTCAGACCAAAAACTTGTGGGCAACATTTATAAAAAGGTTGAAAATACAGAGGAAGGATTTGAGAGTGAGAAAAATAGGAGATGAAATCAAATAAAGAGCTATTTGTCTAGGTGCATAAGAAAGCAGGAATTAAACACTTAAATAATCATATGATGGGATTAGTACCAGGGCGCTTCAGGGCAAATTGGTAATGGATTCTAACTAGAGACTCCCTTGTAGAGTTACATTTCACTTGATGACAAAGATTTGTTCTGCATGTACACAGACCTAGATGTTATAAGTCATTCATTCAATGTGGCCTCAAAAGAGGTGGTAAACCCAAAATCTATGAGGCTATCATCAACACATGATAGCATACCATAGCCAACTTTTTTTTGTACCATCTTTGTAGTACAAGAAGTTCAAAATAACAATAAAAAGTGAGTATGGTGCCCACATAAACCAGCAACACAATCATGCATCATTATTATTATTATCAGGTATTCACTGTACATGATTACACATGCTATACTTTTACACATTGGTGGTACAATAGGTTTATTTACTCAGTGTCATCATAAATAAATCAATATTTGTGCTACAACAATGGTACAATGGCTACAGAGTCCCTGGGCAATAGGAATTTTTAGCTCCATTTTAATCTTATGAGATCACTGTGATATTTGTGACCGAAACATTGTTATGTAGCACATGGTTATATTTTGTCTAAGCTCTTAGCTAATGTGTTCATTTCCTGTGGCTGTCATAAGAAATTACCACAAATTTAGTGCCTTAAAACTGTAAGAATTTATTCTCCCATAGTTTTAGAAACCAGTAATCCAAATCTGCATGTCAGCAGGATTCTGGTCCCTCTGAAGGTTCAGGAAAATAATCCTTCCTTGCCTCTCCTAGGTTCTGGAGGTCCCAACAATCCTTGCATCCTTCAACTTGTAGCTACATTGCTCCACTTGCTGTCTCTTCCTTCACATGGCCATCTCCCCTCTTTGGGTGTTCAAATCTCTCTTTCTAAGATACCATATTTTGGATTTAGAGCCCCACCCTTAGTCAGTATGTGCCAATCTTAACTTCATTACATTGGCAAAGATCTATGTCCAAATAAGGTTATATTCATAGGCACCAACGGTTAGGATGTCAGCAAATCTTTTAGGATGGACAATTCAACCCACAATCAACAGTTCCTGAGAGTGATGTAATGCTGGGTCTAATATTCTTACACAAAGAACACAGGCTGTTTGGGCCACTGTGAAATCCATCAAGAATCTGTCACCTCAGCCAGGAGAAGGATTTCCTTAATAGGTCTCTTAATGGATTTTCTTAATAGACTTTTAATAGACCCTTAATGGACTTTCTTAATAGAGCTCAGGGTCCAAGCAGAAGAAAGGATGGTCTAGCCAGGTATGCAACTACCTGACCAGGTGTACACCTGTTTTCAGACCTGCCAGAGGGAGAGAACAAAGCTGATTCAGGAGAAATTCAACCCTCTAGAGTCCAAACAACTCAAAAAAACTTTCTTTTCAGGGTAGGTCAGCAGTATCTTCCAATATACATATAGCACATATTTGATGAGCAGCCACAAATTGACAAGATAATGAAAGCCTAAAAGATTTCCTGCTACCTCACCATTAGCAGAAAGCTGTGAAACTGGAGAGATAAAGACAGGGAAAATGGCCTGTGTATCATAAATTCCAAATTTAGTTAAGTGGATACTGCATTCATTCCACCAATCAATTATAAAGGATTAAGTGCCTCA